CATTTTAATAACAGATAAAAGGTGACATAGATACTTTATTATGGTATACGTAGTATTTAAATGCATGCCTAAGAAACACATTATATTGCCTCTTTAAGAAAAGGGAACTCCCTGGTCTTTATTTAATGGAACTAAATTATTTGAATTCTGACTTTCCTTCATCTCTCTGATTGTGGCTCAAAATAATCCAAAGAAACATCAGATTCTTATTTACAGCCTGTGTGGTCAGCCATTTTTGTAATGCTCTGTTTACATGCAGCCATTCCCCTTTGACATCACTTCCTGTAAATTTACATGTGAATTTCTCAACAACTGTCCATCCCAGTGGCGAGAAATTTAATAWGTGATATGYTATTAATGTTATCTTTTCAAAAATGCATCCATGWTTTTTACAAAWATCTGATGTCACAGGTACTTTAAGTCTCCTTGTGTTCATTTGTGCCATCGTTTTTACCTGTCCTCGGTCAGCTCCTGTGTTTTTTTCCAGTTGGCCTGCCACTCTCACCTGTTCCCAATCAGCAATCAACTCAGACATCTTTCCCAAGAAACTCTGACCGATATATTTGGTCTCTCCACCTCAGTGGTACATTATTGACCTCATGTGTCACAAGTCTCTTCTGTGTTTAGTCTCCTTGAATCCATTGAGTTTGTGTAAGTGTTGCTACATCAGGCTTTTGTTTGTTTAATAAAACATTTTAACTAACCCTAACCATATTAAACAAAATGCTGACTGCATGTTCTAAGTGTGGTACTGTGTTAATTTGAAACCTGGTCTCAGTTTGATATATTTCTCTGCTGATTAAAGACGAACTGACCTCCTCCTGCAGCGATGCTGAGTCCAGTTTGAGCGACAGGTACATGACAATATGAGGGATGTGTCCGATGGACATTTGGAGCTCAGCGGTGTCCTCCCCCCAAAGCAGACGCACGAGCTGGCTGACCGGCGGAGGGGCCTTTGTCGTCTGGACCGATGATAAGTCCCTGTCCACCGGAGCCACCGTCTCCAACGTCAGCTTCACCTTCAAGAAGGACAAGGACAGAAACACGACAGTTACGAGACAAGAGGTTCTGAGAAGTGGAAACTAAATCCGTGCCAATAAAATGGAGTCATYGAGTCAACTGGTTGAGGTTTTATTCATTTCTTGGAAGTTAGTTTTCTTCAACCACTGGAAAACCACAAGCAAAAAAAACAGGACGGTGACTCTTAAGAGGAAGTATAGTAAAAAGTAGTCAAATAAATCTGCATTTTTGTCYGCGTACATTTATGACTGTGCCTGAGAAAATAAAAATCAGCTGCAAACCCAGGAAAAAGTGTTGAGTCATCGGTTTCCTCACTCATTCATCCATCAGCATTATTTTCCATTCATAGAGCTTCATTCCTCTCTGCCATTCAGAAAAACTGAGTTAGGTAACATCGGGATGGAATTATGCTTTTTAAAATGAACRAAAGAAACAGAAACTTGCTGTCAAAGCAAGTTGACCAATAATAAAAGCCATGTTTAATGGATAAAGTCATGGTTATTTATGATAGATACTCTAAATCTTTATATGTCCCGGTGGAAAAGATTAGATTTTTGTGCTTTTATATGTTTTTAAACTCCTCACAGGTGCTGAAAACCCATCAGCAGCAGAGAGAATAACATTTTTACTGAYGTTTATTCAAGTAAATCAAAATCCACAGCCTGAACCTAAGAAGTGACTAAACAGGTTTAAGAYATCTGGATCAAATTTTGATCGGGGTGAAAAAAACAACAACAACAACTAAACAAGCCACTGTAAATGTTCCAGATCCAGTTCTCTAACGTCCAAAAACTTTTGTGACTCGACCCAACTGGCCGTTTAGCACACTGATTTTAGCAACCACAACAATATTTATAATCAGTCAGTTTTACAGATAAAACAAAGGACAGGATATGGACAGGATATGAAGACACTGTCCTGGAGATGAGGGATGGGAACCTCTGGGTCTCGTCTGCTTTATGCTGATGATGTGGTTCTGCTGGTGCCATCAGGTCCAAGACCTGGGATGGAAGACTTGAAGCTGCAAACAACATGACATGACTTTTGTCACGCAACTGCAACAAAGAGAGTTGATTTTGCCAGTCTGAGGCCATGTTTCTCCATCAGAAAAGGATGGAATGACCCTTCTGGGTCGGGGGTTGTGTGTCAGTCTCTGCCTCAGGCGGAGGAGTTAATGTATCTGGGTGTTTTACACGAGTGACAGTAGGATGGAGGGAGATGAATCGACGGAYTGGGGCCTCGTCYTCAGTAATGAGAGCRTYGCTTCGGTCAATCATGGTGAAGAAAGAGCTGAGTTGAAAGGCAAAGCTCTCGATTTACTGGTCTGTYTTTGTTCCATGAGGCATGGATCATGACTGAAAAAAATGAAACAAATGGCTGAAATGAGCTTCCTTCAGGCTCAGCCTTAGACAGGGTGAGGAGCTCCATCATTTGGCAGGAGCTTGTAGTAGAGCCGCTGCTCCTCCACATCGAAATGAGTCAGATGAGGTGGTTCATCTGATTAGGATGCCTCCTGGACGCTTCCTTTTAGAGGTGTTCCAGGCATGTTTTACTGGTAGGAGGCCTCAGGGAAGACCCAGGACTTGCTAGGGGATTATATATATCCTATCTTGCCTGAGAACCTATTAGTCGACTAATCAAAAAATAATCGGTGATTAATCGACTATAAAAATAATCATTTGTGGCAGCCCTAGGTAGAGATGAAATTTTACAGATATTCAGGTAAAATTTGATGGTAATAGATGAAAGTCAGCACCACATACAGTGCTAACACTAAATATTGTAATTTCAGTTGAGATAACTTCATATTCAAGATTTGACCAAAATAATAACTCCWTATTTATTAGCATGAGATGATTTTAGTCTAAAACCATGTGCTAAAACTCCAGGGTACAATATGCATCCTGYCAAAGAATGCCCAGCATTTAATGTGGTACTGCTTTTAAGGTGAATGCATAGCAAAGTGAGTTATTTTTGTAATAAAATACATTARCTGTAGGTGGTGTTTCTTACTGAGATGTTTGCAGAAAGACCWGCAGAACTGTGACAGTTCTGCTAAAACTCAACTTCAAGGTTCCTCGCAGACACAACCACAGATTTTCACCACCGACATMCACCCGGCTCCTGGTCACACCCAAACTATGACAAGCTCGACTGAAACGCAGAATGAGAAATACGGCTTTTATGGAACAAAGAATAGAACCTCACATTGTTTCACTCCAGCAATTTCAGGTTTAATCACCGAGACTGAGTCAGAAACTTTAAATCCAAGCATTGTTTGTGTCTGCGAGTTTACCCAGAGACACAAAAGAGACGCTGCAGGCAGTTCGTTCAAGAAAACAAGTTTTTTTTTTCTCAGACCGTAACCATCTGGAGCTGACCAAATATGTTAAAAAAAGATCATATTACAAAGTCAAAAATGGCAAAGCTGTATTTTTCTAATCTAACCATCACTTGTAGCGCCTGTCAGCTTTAACCACAGGCCACCAGCCTGTTTGAGCAGGCGCCTACATCTGGGGCTCCCGACCATTTGAGCCAGTTTTTTTCGTACTGGAACACTATTATTAAACAACAAGCAGGCAACACAAATCATCCAGAGATGAGACCCTTTAAACCCATGATTCAGAAGAACAACTTAGTACAGTAAAATCAATTTCATGTGGCTTTGTCATCTGGGTTTTGGGATTTATAAATAATGTAAGATAATGATTGGCGTGCAAAATAAAAAAAACAGAAAGAACATTTTCAGGCAGAGCTCAGAGTGGAGAAATAACAGAACGGAGAGGCGGCCAAAAGAGCAAACTGCAGCACTTTCTCTCTTCATAAACTGCAAGGATGTGGTTAGACATGAGTGTGCTTTTACCAAAATTCCTGTCTGTTGATGTCAGTCATTTTACCAACACACACACACACACACACACACACACACACACACACACACA